CATTCTCCTTAGAAGCCAGGATGGTGAGGCTTCATCGCTCATATCTGGACATGTCATCAGGAGGGACCAGTTCCTGGAGAAGGACATCATGCTTGGTAAAGCGAAGGGTCTGTGAAAAAGAGGAAGACACCCAAAAAGATGGATTGGAACAGTGACAGCTGCAAAGGGCTCAAACGTAACAGTTGTGAGAATGGCGCAGGACCTGGCAGTGTTTGATTCTGTTGTGCGTTGGTTTGCTGTGCGTTGAAACTAACTCAATGGTACCTAACAACACCAACAACCCCATTGCATGGACTTTATTTGGATCCTGAACAAACAAAGAGCTATAGTTATTCATCTGTTATAGTTGGAGGTTTGAGCATGAGCTGGATATTTGAAATTTAGGAATTGTTCATTTAAAAAAATTTTATTGAGGGGAAAGAATATTTAACAACAAAGTTTGCCGCTGTGACTTTTCCAGGTTGCAATTCAGGAACGTTAATTACATTCGCTGCCTTGTGCGCCCATTGCCACCATCCATTTCCAGAAGTTGCTCATCAGAAACTTAACACCCCTTTAGCAAAAATTTCCCACCCCTTAATCCCTGCCTTGGATGACTGCCATACTAAAGTTTTGTCTTCATGCATTTGCCTGTTCTAGATACTACATGCAAGTGGGGACAAACAGTATGTGTCCTTTTGTGTCTGGCTTATTTCTCTCAGCATCATGTGTCAGGGTCTGTTCATCCACGTAGTAACACTGTATATATCAGGACACACTATGTATCCTTCTGTGTCTGGTTTATTTCTCTCAGCATCATGTGTCAGGGTCTGTTCATCTACGTAGTAGCACTGTATATCAGGGCTTCCTGTCTCTTGATTGGCTGTGTAATATACTTCATTTTTGCATACCTGTGCTTTCCGATTATCCATTCCTCTGTGGGTGAATACTTGGGTGGTTCCTAGTGTGACTAATGCTGTAGCAAACATTAAAGTACAGGCATGTGTTTGAGACCCTGCTTTTAATACTCTTGGGCATATATGAGTACCTAGGAATGGCATTGCTGAATCTGTTGTTGTTGTTAACTGTTAAGTGCTGTTGAGTCTGTTCCAGCTCATAGCACCTGTATAAGGTTTCCTTGGAGCAGCTGGTGGGCTTAAACTGCTACCTTGCAGTCATATGCTCGGCCAGGATCCATGTACATGTGAGTGTGAGAGAGAGTGAAATTGAGATACAGATGATTGGGTGTATGCAAGGGAGCTTCAAAAACTTCATGGAAAATTTCCTCCTTTTTCAGTCCATTTTTCCATGAAAGTGTTGAAGCCCCCTCACATTTCAGCTACTTGGGCTGCTGTGTGTTAAATGGTTTTGGCGTGATCTCAGAGGGAAAGTTAAGAAGACCAAGAACAATAGGAGTGGGGAGGGCAGGTCTTTAAGCCCCAAGATAAACACACCCTCCCAACCCCCACGGTAGTCTGGACTGGAATCACGCACTTTATTTGGTACAACTAAGCCTGATCTTGAGGCTGGAAGAAAAGATCCTCTCATCTTGAACTGTTACTAGAGGAACAATGACTTGCACAACTCAGAATAGGGTGTTGATTTAAGGAAAGCTCACAGCAAACAGAGGAACAAGTTGAGTGCTCCCTGGAATTGGTTCTATACTTCCTAGTCATTCCCGGAAATGGAGGTGATTAGCATAGCTTTTGTAAGCATAAAAGGTATTTGGGGGATCATCTGTGTATGGAGGGAGGGCGGGCAGAGTATCCAGGAAGGGAACCAGGAACTTGCAGGGTCTGTTCCAGCTGCAGGAAGAAGTCAGTCCCTACACCACTCTCCCTCCCGCTGTGCAAGTCCCAACAATCAGATTGAAAAGGAAAAGATGATTATCATGCCCTGGTATCGGTTTACTAGGAATAATGTCACACAGAAACCCTAGCACTTCCTGATTTTCAGCCCTCTCTGCGTTATCTCTCCTCCCAGCCCCTCCAGGTGTTTTGAATGGCTTCTCTCCAGGCCTGTGGATCTTGGCACACAACATTCATTCATACTCCCAGAGCTCAGCACTGTCTCCACTTTCCTTGGATTATTTGTTGTTGTTAGGTGCCATCAAGTCGGTACTGACCTACAGTGACCTTATGTACAACAGAACGAAACACTGCCCGATCCTGGGCCAAGCTCACAGTTGTTGCCCTCTTGAGCCCATTGATGCTGCCACCTGGCCAATCCATCTCATTGGGGGTCTTCTTCTTTTTCTCTGGCCTTCCACCTTACCAAATGTGCTATCCTTCTCCAGTGACCGGTCCCTCCTGACAATATGTCTGAAGTGTGAGACATGAAGTTTGGCCATCCTGGCCTTCAGGGGGCGCTCTGGCTGCATGCCTTCCAACACAGATCTGTTGTAATGCAGTGAGTCAGTTGATAAGGCTCTTCTAGCCTTAGTCTTCATAGTCATTGTTAACTGTCATCAAGCTGGTCCCCATGCATAGCGACCCTGTTTAGGGTTTCCACGGAGTGGCTGGTGAGTTTGAACCACCGACTGTGAGGTTCAGACTGACTTTAAGATGTAGTACTTATTTTACAGCGCCACACTAGGACTCCATAATCTTGATAACTTCCCTCAAATGACTGCATGGAACCATTCATGTAGATTGTCTGGAGAGCTAATGAGAGGATTGAGCAGTTTGCCATCCCACTGAGTATAAAATGAACCATCCAGAAGCAGGAACTAAGGGGATCTCATGACCACCAAGAAAGACGAGCACCAAGACTAAGACTCAGTGGGAATACATGCTCTGATTGGTGACCACGTTCGACACCAATAAGGGGAAGTGAGGGAAAAACAGCAATGAAGCTGCGAGCTAAGCCCTACAACATTCAGTAGACTCCTGTGAACCCGGGTGGAGACCTGGTTGGCCAGCAGTGTGCAAGACCTGGGGACTCTTGGGCCCAGAGTCAGTGACATAGCCACAGAGGACTAGAGTGGAGAGTGAAGTGTCCAGCTGATAAGAGAGAGCATATGCATAGGAACACCCACACTTGCAGGTAATACCCACTTGACCTGGCTTCAATGACTGGATCATCAGAGTTCAACTAGAAGAAGAAAGAAGAGGGGAAAAAAAAAAAAAAGTGTAATCTGATACAATTTGATGAACTTGACCTACACCTATGGATGCAGTATCTCAAAAGAGGGAACAAATCTTTACAGCAAAGATCATTCCCACCCCCTCCATACATAAGAGTAGACACGGATGGGCAACTTGGACATTGGCTACCCAAAATGCGGGGTGGGGGGCTACAAAGGCAAGAAGTGACTGGCTTACAAGTTTTCAAGAGGGAACCTAGATCCAGAGGGCCTGGAGGAAGGTAGAATCTCCACTGAGTATAGTATCCAATCTGTCTGGGGCTGATGAAAGGAAATGCGGATAGGTCTCTTGTGATACAATAGTGAATAATTGTTATCAGGACTGATTGTGAGTGTTGGAAATGTAAAGGTAGATGTTTTGTAGCAAGGAGGGGAGTGATTGACTTTGCAGTCTAGGAGCAGAGGTCCCTGGGACCATCAAGGGAGAAAAGTGGAGAGTGGGACATTACCCAGAGAAGCAGTGATGCCAGAGATGGAGGCAGAGACGATGACATGGAGAGATGGAGCAGCTGGGGATTTTAGACCCAGAGAGGGAGAGGGGTTGTGTGCTAATGACCAGGGGGTGGGGGGGTGAGCTTGTGGGGTATACTCTTTGGTTGGTTGATGATGCATGGAGGGGATTGTAACCATGGCAATGAAACGATATATGATAGGATGAAGGTAAAGCTAATATTCTTCCATGTAAACTATCACATAATTCACAATAAAACATCAAAAAGAAAGAAAGGAGAGCACCTGTTTTGGGCCCTGAGATCCCTTCATCGAACCCCTCATTCCAGAAGACCACCTGGGGCAGCAGACCCAAGATCCTGAACATGAGACAGAGCCACAGGCTTCCCAGCCCAAGGAGCATGTAAATCTGAGTACATTTAGGGAGGGGAGACTCCTTGCAGAGTAAGGTGCCTCTGGGCACTTTATGCGGAGATCCAGATTTGCTGATTCATGAGCTAGTGGTGAGCACTTTCAGACTGAGGTGTGGCGGCAGGTGGTGCCCTCTGGGCATTGATTGGCAGAGCTAAAAGAGCTTTGTAACACTGCCCAAGTAGGCCAGAGGTCTAGGGGCCTTGTGGCTAAAAGGACACAGACCAGAGACATGTACCTGTGAGGATGGCTGAGAAGAGGTGCTCCTGACTATAAGAATTGTTGTAACTGTTAATCCCTAATAAGTCCTCTCATCATCGAGTATTGTCTATGGCCATTATAATGAATGAATCAAACCCAGCAAAGCAGTGGAGGAATAATTGGTGTCAGAAGTGAGATGGAAGGGTGGAGGCATAGATGTCAGCCTTGGGCTGATGTGGAGTTCTCCTTTCCTTTTGTGAAGGAAGGCCTTGGTACAGTCAGCCATACCCACAATTGTGAACAGTCTGAAGGTCCCTCAGTAGCAGAGTGGATAAATGTGTTGTGATTCATTCATATAACAGGATGTTCTGCAGCCAGGAAAATAACGTAAACTGTTCCCCACATACATTATAACGAATCACACCAGAAATGATGAGAAAGAAACCAAATGCCATTGTACTTGTATGTCACCATTTATATACAGAGTCCTAGTGGTTCAAAGGAGAAGGGCTTGACTGCTAACCTAGAGGTTGGTGGTTCAAACCCACCCAGCATATCCATGGGGGAAAGACCTAATGATCAGCTCCCGTAACAATTAAAGCCCAGAAAACACTCTGGGGCAGACTACTTTGTCACCTGGGGTCACTATGAGTTGGAATTGACTAGTACCTAACAGCACCACCGTATATATAAAACACTCAAAGCTTAGCAACTCATATGAGGCGTGCGTGGCAGGGTATGAAGGTGGTTTGGAAAGCTGCATCAATCAGTACAGAACTCAAATGTGCTTAACCATTGGTTTTCTTTCTTGCAGACGGACGAACAATGCGGGTTAAAAGCCATCGAGAAAGAGAAGACGGTGGTACCTCTACCGCCCAACGAGGCATGCAAATGTCACAAGGAGGACTTGGCCAAAGCATTTTACGTAAGAACCGAGTTGGCATCTTAACGCCAATTAGATATGGTGTTAAGATGAAAAACAGAGCATCTCAGAAAGCCCCAAAACTGCCCTGTTTCACATAGGGTGTCATGATTATGGTGGGCAGCCATAGTTCTTCCCCTCACTCTCCTTCCAGACGTGTTTTTCAGTTACACCGTGCTGTCTTAGTCCTCCCAACTGCAGATGAGAGTCACGGGTTGGCCCAGGAAGTAGCATGCCTGGCATTGAATCTGAGCTCAAACACTGTGTCATCCTTTAATCCTTGCTTCATCTTTTACAATCCACGGTGTGACCAGTTAGTTCCTCCAAATCTCATAAGTGTTCCAGCAACCCCGCTTAGCCAAGGCTGAGACGGAAGGACCTTTGCTTGTTTCTATGCTTTTCAGTTTCTTTACTGAGAAAACTAAGCCAACTTCAAGGGTGTGTGTGTACTCTTAAGCCACCACACTGGGGAAAACAAATACAAATCTACTAATAAAAGGACCCGTGTCACAAGTTCAAGGAAGTTGGAAGGCAGTGCTTCACACCAGCCTTTCCTTGAGAATAATCCAGAAGTCTATTTACTTGTGTTTGGAGAGGGGGAGGAAAGACAGGCATATTGGTTTCACTGCGCTTCACAGGTAACGGCCTTTTTGAATCATTTTTTAACAATTTGAAGATTGTGGCAGTCCCACATTGAGCAGTCCTGTCTGCCATCATTTTATCACTTCATGTCTCAATGTCACATTTTGGTACCTCTCACAATAGTTCAAACTTCACGTCAGCATCACTTTCCTATGTACTGGGAAGCCAAAAATTTTATGTGATTGCAGTTGTGCCAAGACATACCTGTATTTTTTTTTCTCTCTTTGTCCAAAGAATCAAACACGGAGCATGGCAGGTCTGTAGGATATACACTGGACTGCTAACCTCAGGGTTGGTGGCTCCATTCCACCAGCTGCTCTGAGGGAGAAAGATGAGACTTTCTGCTCCCACAAAGATGTACAGCCTCCGAAACCTTATACAGGGTCGCTATGAGTCAGAACTGATTAGACGGCATTGAACACCAGTCAAGTCAATGAGCTTGGTTTTCTTTCTCTTTTCAAATGAGTCCAGAAATGAATTCAGCTTCCCTGTCATAGGCTGCACACATCGACCTCAGAGTAGAGTTTTCTGATGGTGGAGTTTGTAGAAACACGAATACGATCTTGTACCTTTGCTAACATTAGAACAGCAGGTTTTTACACTGTGCTTGACTCTAAAATTGTTCTTGTTAAGTGCCATCAAGTCAGTTCCAACTCACAGGGACCTTGTCTGGTTTCCAAAGAGCAGTTGGTGGATTTGAACTACCAACCTTGTGGTCCAAATTGACCTTGAAGTACAGTGCATTACCCCGCAGTGCCATGTAAATTATATTGAAATACTGTGTTGTTGTGAAGTTCTGTGGAGTCAGTTCCTGACTCATAGCTACCCTGTATAGGGTTTCCGAGGAGTGGTTGGTGGGTTTGAATGGCCAACCTTGCTAACTATTAGCAAATCCAGTGCTTATCCTACAGCACCACATCAGGACTCCTATGTAAATACCAGAGGGCTTCAAAACATGCATGCAAAAATTCCTTAATCTTTTCATTTTAGTTTTTCACAAACTTTTTGAAGCCACCTCATATGGAAGGAGCTTGGCAGGCTGTACACATGATACAGTATTTTTAGCTATTTTTTCTAAGGATGAACCTATTTTTTTTTTAAGTATTTCTGTAGTTCCATATTACAATTCCATTTGTTGAAATTTAGATACAAGGTACTCATTTTGCTGTAATTTCTGGCTTATTTTCTGTTATCATTTGCAATTGGGTTGATTCCACTGCATGGTGACCCCATGTGTGTCAGAGTAGAACTGTGTTCCGTAGGATTTCCAATGGCTGATTTTTCAAAAAGTTAGTGGGAAAGACTCATTTTTTTTTTTCATTCCACTTTCCCATCAACAACTCTGAAGACCTCTCCTTCATACATGTAGAGTCCTGGTGTGGCACTGTAGGATAAGCACTGGACTACAAAGTTGGCAGTTCAAACTCACCAGCTGCTTCCCAGACACCCTAAACAGGGTCGCTATGAGTCAGAACTGACTTGATGGCACTTGGCCACAGCAACAATGCTCAGACAGAGCCAGGCCTTTCTTCTGAAGTTGCCTCTGGGTGGATTCGAGTTGGGGATAGCTGAATCGCACTGCAGGGAGTCTGAGTAACTCCCCTCTCCCCAGTGGACCTGCTTTATGCCTTCTCATCAAGGAAGAAGCTGACTCTAGGGTGGGGTTCCTGGGTTCTCACCGGGCCCCTCGGTGAGCTCACTCTTGACTGGCTTCTCAGGTGGACTTGGAGAAGGGGCTGTCTGAGTTCTCGGTAACACAGCGCAGACTGGTCCATGGCTGGAATGAGTTTGTGGCCGACAATACCGAACCTGTGTGGAAGAAATACCTGGACCAGGTAGGGCCCACGTGTCATGCCTGCATGCTGACCAGACTAATCCCAGGGGTGGGGAGGCGTCTCCTGATTAAATATTGATTGAGGGTGTCCTTGGGCAGGTAGGTCCTGAGGGGTGGGGCAGAGGTACAATGAAGATAAAGAAAGCTCATCTCTGTTCAGGCTGACCTCAGCCAGCTGGAGGGACAGCCCGACAGTTGTGGTCAGAAGTAACACTGGCCAAACTGACCAAGGGCTGACCACATGCCAGGCCTGGTGCTGAATGCTTTGTAGACACTAATTTAGCCTTCCCACTAGCCCGATAGGTAAGTACTGTTGTGATCTCCATGGGATGTTGGTGTTTGAGTGCTGAGTTCCTTGGCCTGCATGCCAGATCAGTTCCCAGGAAAACCACCACTCACATGTCAGTGGAGGCTTGCGTGTTGCTGTGATGTGTTGTTTTCATGTTTCAGTGGCGCTTCCAGACTACGATGTTCTGATCCCCAGCACTCCATGGGGCTGGCTGGCATTTCGTCCCATTGCGCATGGCATCCCTACGAATTGGGGACGGACTTGATAGCGGCAAACCACAGTTCTGTCCTCATTTTACAGACCAGGTCCTGAAGTCCATAGAAGTTGAGATCTTAGCTTAGGGCTGTCGGGTTACCAGACTTAGCAAATAAAAATATAGGACATGCTGTAAAATCTGAATGTCAGGGAAACAAGAGCTTTTAGTGTAAACACATTGCATAGATCATGTAGTTCTACCCAATTAATGGGTAGAATTTTCCAGAAGGCTGAAGGCAACTACTCTGTCTCAGGTTCCTCAACTTGTCTAGCACCGCCCTTGCCCTATTCCAGCAGCAGTCGGCTCCAGTCTCTGGCTCTGAGCCTGCGCCATTTCTCCTTCCTTACTGGCTCAGTGGTTAGCACTCTCTTGATTGGTTGTTCAGAGACCAATTACAGGCTTCCTTGCAGCATCCTCCCTCTCCACCCCAGAGAGTCCTTCACTGTTCACTGGCTTCTTCTCAACACAGAGATGTCATTTGTTGATGTGTTTTCCAATGAAGTGGACTTCTGGGTATACAGGTGGCGGAACCCTGTGTTTGGTGGATGTGGTGCCGGTTCCTGGAAGGTGGAGTTCAGGGAAAGAAGCTGAGCTTGGGGACTGGGGGGTGGGGGCAGTGCTTTCCGCTCTGCAGCCAGGACTCACCTCTGCCCACCAAGAAGTTGTAAGCCCTTTCTACAGTTCTACTCTGACTGCCTCTTCCTCTAAGACCCCTGCTGGACTCCCTGGAACGCTCTTTCTCCTGCTGCCCTATCAAAACCCACTCTTAGCTTCTTCATTCATGCAGAGCTTCTCATGTATCTGTTTGTTTGCTTCCAACAACAGTGCTATCGTCCCACTGACATGGTTGGAAGGTGCCATTGGATTGATTTTGACTCATCGTGACGCTGTGCAGAACAGAATAAAACACTTACATGGTGGTTTAGCACCATCCTCACAACCATGAGCCCATTGTTGCTGCCACTGTGCCAGTCCGTCTCATTGAGTCTTCCTCTTTTTTTGTGACCCTGCACTTTACCAAGCATGATGCCCTTCTCGAGGCACTGGTCCTTCTTGATACCATGTCCAAGGAATGAAGTCTTGGCCAACACCGCTAATAAGGAACTCTGTATTTCCAAGACAGATTTCTTCATTCTTCTTCTTGCAGTCCACGGTACATTCAATAGCTAACAACGTTAACCTTTATTAATAACATCTAAAAGGAGCTCTGGTAGCGTAGTGGTTACGAATCGGGCTGCGAACCTTAAGGTCAGCGGTTCGAAACTACCAGCCGCTCTGCGGGAGAAAGATGAGGCTTTCTACTCCTGTAAAGATTTACACCCTCGGAAACCCTGTACAGGGTCGCTATGGGTCGAAACCGACTTGACGGCACTTAACAACAACAATAACAATGCATTCTCTGGAGTCCTGGTGTGGTACTATAGGGTAAGCACTGCACTACTAATCTTGAGTCCTGGTGAGGCGCTGTGGGTTAATGCGCCAGACTGCAAGTTGTTTAAACTGCAAGGTCGGCGGTTCAAGTTCACCAGATGCTCCTTGGAAACCCTATACAGGGTCGCTATGGGTCAGAACTGACTTGAAGGCACTTAGTTCAAATCCATCAGTAGTTCCTTGGAAACCCTGTACAGGGTCACTATGACTCGGAACTGACTTGACAGCTCGTAAGAGGAAATGCATTCTCCATAGATTTCTCCAAGTGCTTCAGAGATGGCTTTTGTAGTTGGTTAGACTCTGAATTAAAGTGAATAAATCCCATCTACTGCCTCAGGATGATGTTCCCCTTTTAGGATTTTACTTTAAGCCCATTTTTAATCAGTGAATCATGCTCACATAAGGGCTTTCAGAGATCCGCAAAGTCAGCTGACAGTTCATTTAATGCTGAAGACATCACCTGTGTGGAGACGCATGGAGCTTAACTGCATGAGGTTTGTCTTGGAAACTTGGTGTCATCTGATGCAGGTTTCAGGGTTTTGTGTGTGTGACTTTTACAAACACAGTTCAGGAGGCTAGAAACCCAAATTCAGGGCTCTAGTTCTGGGGTGGGGTAGGCTTTCTCTGTCAGCTCCAGGGGAAGGTCATTGTCCCCTTCCAACATCTGTGGACACAGCACCCCTTGGAGACCTCCATATGCCTTGGCATCAGTCTTTCCTTGAGTCTCAGGGTTCTCAATGCAGGGGCTCCGGGTCCAAAAGACACACTCCGTTCCTGGCTCTTCTTTCTTGGTAATAGTGAGTTCCCTTGTGTCTCAAGTTCTTGTGGGAACGTCTTTCTGCAGGACTTGCCTTCAGTGTCTCTCAGATCTGTAGGCTCAACACTCAAGCTGACTTGGAGGTAGGATGACCTCCAACCTTGAAAAAAAAAAAAAAAAAGATGGATGGAGAAAGTTTCCCAGCGATGGGATTCAAGTGCCCTGAGATAGGGCACCTTCTGGACTTGGGGGCCCTCAGTCCCTCCATTTCACCAGTGTTTGTCTGGTGCCTTCCATAATCAGTCTTGTTGTTGCAGTGGGTACCAGTATCCAGCACGTGCCGGTCAATGGTGGCCACCGTACATTGAGGAAGCCCAAGCTAGAAGTGAGAAATGTGGACCAGGTTTCTCAATGAAGTAACGGTGGAGACAGAACTGGGACCTGGTTCTGATCCTGAGCTCTTGCTGGTCATGTCGGAGGGTCAGGCCCAGTTCTGGGTCCTGGGAAGTCTATAGACAGCAGGGCAAATGGGGGCTGTGCCCTCGGAAAGGTGGTGGTGGTACAGAATACAAAGTAACAACCTAAAAATGCAGTACCATCATGACAAGCAGTTGGCTAAGAAAGTGAGATGTCTTTGGGCTCCTCAGTCAGAGGACTCGGGTCAACTGCTCTGGCACCACAGTGAACACTGCCCCTCTGGTTCAATGGACAAAAGGCCAGCGACTCCAGGATGGCCTTAAATCTGTGGTGGGTACTACGCCTGCACAACATGGATTGGTTTCTGTTCATGAGCAGTGTAAATCGTGCTTTTGATCCTAGTTCCCTTTTTGCTTTGGCTGCTGGGAAGCTCATAGCCCAACAGGCATCCTTGTTTTTTTAACAGCCTTCATTTGCTGGCCCATGTTCTGACTCTCTCTGATCTGATCTTCGTTCCTCTCTCTGGTCCTTTCTTCATGAGTCTGTGGTTCCTTTCAGATGTGTGTCACGTGAGCCCCCGTGGAATCGATTGATGAAGTGTGAGGGGGCAGATACATAAAACAATAAATTAAAATTTCCAAGTAGTTTCTGGAGCAGCTGATCTCCAGAAGGGGCATCATTGGAGCCCCAGGAGGCTGTTTGCATGAGCAGGGTAGTGCCCGAGGGTGGACATTGGGGACTTGCAGGGTAGAGGGTCATGAAGTTGTAGTGGTAAGAGACCAGTAATTCACTACCAAACAGAAGCTGGTGTGCTTATGGAGGTCTGTTTCTGGGGTGGTTTCACTGGGACCCCGGGGAAGTCGATGAAACTGCAGAGTGGAGATTTCAGCCTGAGGAGAACCACGTTATAGCTGTCTTGTTCCTCCTTGGCCCTCGGACACGCTAGTGTTGGCCTGGAAGACTGGCCTTGAATGAATGACTGGTTCTCACAACATGTACGAAAATCAAACCTGTTCCTGTCCCATCAACTCCAACTCCTGCCGACCCACTTGTATAGATAAGAACTCTTCCATGGGATCGTCCAGGCCCGTCTGTGAGGTCCCTTTGGATGGGTCGGGACCAACAAACTCTCAGCGAGCATCTGAACACCCGTAGCAGACTAACAGAAAACACCCCACCCCATCCAGTCTATTTTCATTTTCCAGTTTAAGAGTCCCCTGATCCTGCTGCTGCTGGGCTCGGCCCTGGTGAGCGTGCTCATTAAGGAGTATGAAGATGCCGTCAGCATCACCATGGTGAGTGTGCTCACGGGGACTTTTCTTGTGCAAGAGAAAAAGCTGGTCTTTACTGTGCAAGGAGAACTTGCTGAAGGAAAAAAAAAATGAATGTATGAATGTGTGTAGATACTTGTGTGTATTTGTATACTCACACACACAAGGGGACTTCAAAATATTTGTGTAAGAATTCCATTATCTTATAATTTCATGTTCGGTGACTTTTGAATTCTCCTTATATATGTGTGTGTGGATCTTCCCCCAACCCCAGCCCTTGGGATTTTTCTATTTATCTACAGATTAGAAAGGAAAACAAATCCAGTTTCTTCCTTCCCTATTCTGGAGGTCTCCTGGCTTTCCCAGCCCCCGCCCCCTTGCTCAGGTACCCTGGTAGCACTGTGAGTTAAGCATTGGGCTGCTAACCACAAGGTCGGTGGTTCAAACCTGCCAGCCACTCCACAGGAGAAAGCTGAGGCTGCCTTCTCGCATAGAGACTGACCACCTCGGAAACCCAGTACAGGGTTGCTCTGAGTCACAGCTGATGGCGGTGGGTCTTGTCCTGTTTTCTTTTGCTAAGTCTAGGTTGTTGTCACAGTTTGTTGTTGGAACACTCTGTAGTCAGCTCCTTCCCGGATTCCACTTCCTGGCCCCTCATCCACTCCCTAGAAAGCTGTCTCTTGATGGGTGTTGTTCGCATCTCTTCCTGTTGAAGTGAGGTTGAATCCCACTCCCCTCTTGATAACATTGGGCTCAGGGCCACACCTGCGGGCCTATGACAGCGACATTGTTGAATGAAAAGGGCAGTGGTTTTTAAAAACACAGCCACATACTCTATGAGCCCACGCTATCTGTACGTGTGTGCTGACAGAAATCGAGAAAGCTACCCACACACGGGAGCCTCTGGGTGGCTGAGTCGAGGGTGACGGCCTGTTTTCTATCATTCGTACAAGAAGATGGGAAGTGGCCCTCCCCCGCTTCTCCGCGTTGGACGCTGGACTAACACCGGGTGCTAACGCTCTGCCCCTTGCTCCCCAGGCCGTGCTGATTGTGGTCACCGTGGCCTTCATCCAGGTGTGTACCTCCTAGGTCCAGGCTGGGTGACTGGGCATGATGGGAGCTGTGCAGAGGGCCTGCCCTCTTGAACAACTCGTCTCATGTGCTTCTTACCAGGAATACAGATCGGAGAAGTCCTTGGAAGAGCTGACCAAGCTGGTTCCCCCAGAATGCAACTGGTAATTCAGCACCCCGGGGAGCAGGAGGGCTGGAGAGTTTGGTCAGGAGAACCTACAGGTGGATTGCTGTGTGTCTTTGGGCATGGCACTCGACCTTTCTGGGCCTCACCTCTACCCTTACTGTCTGCATCAGGATACCTAACCCAGGGGCCCCAGTCCGGTAGGATGGCTTTGGGAAGGGATGGTACAGAAGGCCTTGAATTGTGTGTAAAGCTGTGGCCATTTTTCTCTGGGGATAGGACTCAGAATTTTTATCGGGTCCTCAAAGGGTGGGCTCAGATAAGGTTAACTTGGCTTTAGGAAATGTCACAGTCCTGTGTTGAAGAGTAGGATGCCACAAACAAAGGAGGTCTGGGCATTTGAAAGCAGTTTAGTGCCTCTTTCCCACTTGGATAGGCCTGTTGAACTTTGCCATGACAACTCTTACCCAAGATGTTTAAAGAAGAAAGAGACAAAGACAAGTTAAGCTGTCCACCAGGACTTCACAGGCATGTTTGTGTCTAGATTGCAGTGCAGTAAAACTTTCTGGAAATGTTCTGTGTTGGGGACCATCCATGATGGTGTCTTCTAGTTACATGTGGCCATTGAGGACTCAAAATGTGGCTCGTGCATTGAGTTATTAAAGCAGTTCTACCCTGGCCTTTAAGGAGCTCTGGTAGCATAGTGGTTATGAATTGGGCTGTGAACTGCAAGGTCAGCAGTTCGAAACTACCAGCTGTTCTGTGGGAGAAAGATGAGGCTTTCTGCTCCCGTAAAGATTTACAGCCTCGGAAACCCTGTTCAGGGTCGTTATGGGTCAGAACCGACTCGATGGCACTTAACAATAACAACCCTGGCCTTTAGGGTCACATTGAGTCAGAATTTGCTCAAGGGCAAGGGGGGGTGGTGGTGGCTGGATAAAGGAAACCAGAAGACACAGAAGGGAAAATGCTATACCCCTGGAATCTTCCACATCAGTTCTGTGATAGCAGTAATCCCTAAGTTTGTGTTGTTTGTAAGACATGAAATGTTTTTTAGAGTTTGAAGTCTCCTCCCTCTCCCTTTCCAAGCTGAGCCAGGATGGAGCATGAATTTAAGCTTTTTCACATTAGCCTGTTCCTGACATGGGAACAGAGTTGATGGGAGAAGCTGAGATAGACTCAGGGATGCCTCCAGATGGCCAAGACCCTGTGCACAGCCCTTTGGGCTAGGCTAAGTCCAGCATGTACTTGATCTCATTTAATTCCCACCTTAGCCCTGCAAGGAGACCACTGTTAGTCACTTCTGTGGAGGACCAAAACCTGAGCATGCAGCTCCGAGGCCCAAGGAGGGGAAGGCAGCCAGGAAACCGGCTTTTAGACAGTTTTGGGGTATCCCAGATTTCTCTTCCTCCCAGATATTTGACATTCTAAGTCAGGGACATGGATTTAAAATGTGCCAAGTGTGATTCTAAAAAGATCCCAAAGTCAGGGCCTGATGGAGGAGCCCAGGGGAGAGGGCATCCCAGGGAGGGCCAATATCAGGGCCTTCTTGCTCATGGAGCCTCTTTATAAATGGTGGGGCTGCTTCGTGTTGAGTCAGGGGGTCCTAAACTCATCGGCATGTTCTCCAAACTGTCTCTGACTCAGACTGGCTGGTGTGTGCGGATGTTGTTACTGCTGCTGCTCAGTGTTGTGGAGTCGGTTCCAACTCATAACAACCATGTTCAGGTTTCGGAGGTTGTACATCTTTGTGTGTAGAAGAATTGATGTATTTGAGTTATGGTGTTGAAGGAGAATACTGAAAGTGCCATGGGCTGCCAAAAGAACCAATAGATCTGTGTTGGAAGAAGTGAAGCCAGAGTGCTCCTCGGAGGCCAGGATGGCCAAACTTTGTCATACTTTGGACATATTGTCAGAAGGGACCAGTCACTGGAGAAGGATATCATGTTTGGTAAGGTGGAGGGTCAGAGAGAAAGAGGAAGACTCCCAGTGAGATGGATTGGCCAAGTGGCAGCATCAATGGACTCAAGCGTGGCAACAGTAGTGAGGTTGGCCCAGAATCGGGCAGTGTTTCGTTCAGCTGTGCATAAGGTCGCTATGAGTCGGTACTGACTCCATGACACCTAACAACAACAACAATTTTGTGGGAGCTATCAAAGCCTCATCTTTTTCCCATGGTGACTGGTGGGCTCGAACTGACAACCTTGTGGTTCATACCACACTCCCATGTTTCCATGTTGGTGGTATATAGTTCACAAATCCTAAATGTTATCCTCCTTCTGACAGTGAGGCCCATGAAGCCCACTGAGCTCTCCCTGGATGGCTCACAGTACCTCACCTGTCTGGACATGAAACACCACCAAACTTAAAGCAGTTCTCTCTTCTTCCAAATTAGAGAAGTTTGGCCCACTTGAGCGAGCAACCTTTGGGGGATTTACGCCTGTGTGATGTACTGCTTTCCAGGAGCACTGTACTAGTCAAATGGATACTTAAATGACTTTCTTATATCACAATACAGATTGGAGACTGTTCAAAAAGTTGACTGCTGCAGGCAGTCCCCGGTTTATGAACACCCGAGTTACAGACACCTCCTCACCCACACAGTGCCGTCGGGTCGATTCCAACACTGTAGGGCAGAGCAGAACTGGCCACAGTGTTTCCGAGGCTGTCACCTTTACAGAAGCAGACTGCCTCCTCTTCCTCCCGTGGAGCAACTGGTGGGCTCAAACCACCAACGTTCTGGGTGTAACTTGTCGTAATACCCAGCCGTTTTAGGGCTCAGTTCTAGAAGTTCTAAAGTGTGCAGACTGTCATGTGGTAACTCCAGCAGTTAGGACCAAGAGGCCTTCCACACCCGGGGACTTCACTCAGGTCCTTGAGGAACCCAGCCTGCTCCCAAGGAACCACCCTCCCCCTCCCCAGGAGTACAGACCACCCTTTCAGAGCCCAAGTCACCCATCTTCAAGGAATCTAGCCCGGGCCTGGTCCCTGGAAACCATTGCTATGTTTTCTGCCCCCATAGATTTGTGTTTTCCAAATCGACATGTAAATGGAATTGTGTACAGTAAGGCTTTTTAAAATCATCCATCAAAGGCTCATTTGCAGTAAGACCATGCAATTGAAATGTAGGAAAACTTACCCAGGAATTAGGAATATATTTGCATTCAGTTTCACTGACTTCTAGAAACATCGAAATGTCCCATTGATACGAAGTCTTTTCAGGCTAGTGTCTTTCTTGGATACATGTTGCTGCTGAAAATACAATCATGGAAACATCCCATGAGCTCATGGGGTATATAACCGCCTTTAGAAGGGGTTAAGCTAGAAGACAAGCCTGATTTCTGAAGGGTGGTTCTTGAGGAAGAACCTTAGCATATATGTAGGGACTTCAAAAAGTGTGTGGAAAGATAGAATGAAAAGATAATGGATTTTTTTCCACAAACCTTTTGATGTCCCCTCGCATTTGGCCATGTACAGTTCAAGTGATTCATGGGGCAAAAGGAGTTATCTGTCCTGGATTCAGCAGTCAAGGGTGTGTGTGTGTATGGTATATGTATATTCAGGTCCCTAATACAAGACAAGGGGCTCGTAGCATAGTGGTTACGAGTTGGGCTTCTAGCCTCAAGGTCGGCAGTTCGAAACTACCAGCGGTCCCGTGGGAGAAAGATGAGGCGTTCTGCTCCCATAAAGATTTACAGCCTCGGAAACCTTATGCAGGGTCACTATGAGTCAGACATGACTCCACGGTACTTAACAACAACTATACAAGACAGATAAGGATGAACAACCAAACAAAACAAGCCCATAGAGGACTTAGATCTCCAGATCTTTCTTCTGAAGCACCTCTGGGTAAACTTGAACCACGAGCCTTTCAGTTAATGAGCATGCTGACTGTACCACGCAGAGAATTCAGGTGAGCTGTGGGCGTTGCTGCTGCTGTATGCCATCAAGTCGGTTCTAACTCATGGTGACCCTGTATGGAGTTTCTAAAACTGTAAATCTTCATGGGAGCTGAAAGCCTTATCTGTTTCCTGTGGAGCGGCTGGTGGATTTGAACTGCTGACATTGCAATTAACAGCCCAATGTGCTACCAGGACTGGACAAAGGCTTGGAGCAAACCAGGTGTGTGGTGTGTGATGTAATCTTAGAGCAAGAGGAATCTTAAATGATTCATGTGGCCAGATGATAGGATCCTAAGTGTAAATATCAGGTCTCAGCCTTCCAAGTGGAGAGTGTGCATTATTGATATCCCCAGAAATTCCTGCTGAGAGGCCGTTGTGTTTTTGAAAATGGCAGGGCAGGGGAGACCACCTGCTCTCCTGAGGGGAGGGGTGGGGCGGTGGAAAGAGCAGCTGCATGCAGACCCTTCCTGCATCCCCTCCACCCTTTGCACAATCAGCAAATATTTTCTGAACACCTGTTATGTGCCTGGGGAAACGGCTTACACTGAGGGCCCAGTGGCACTGTCTGAGGCTCCCATCCTTACATTAGGGGAAGCAGGTGATAAGCAAGTTGAGGAATGAAGTGTTTCCAGAACACAGCATGTGTATTAAAGCTAACACCCCAAACCTAGAAATCCAAACAAATTCTCCAGAAAGCTAACTGTGACAAGTGAAGCGAGGGCAACCTTAGGCTGGGAGTGCCCAAGTCTCCTCGGGCCTCCATCCCGAGCTACCACAGGCTTTATGGAACACAGATGTACTCCCTTACAGCTCTGGAGTCTAGACGCCCAAATACAGGGTCTGCACTGTGTTGATTCCCTCGGCTGGGAACAGGAGGACACTTTGGGGAGGAGCTGAGCTGTAGCCAGAACACCTATGTCTGCTGGCCACTGGCCCTGCTTGATGTTCCTCCTTGTAGCTGGGTCCTCACATGGCGTACCCCTCACTTGTGAATGTGCCCATGTGAACCTCTGTGCATGTATACATGTGTATGTGCATGTTTTGGGGTGCACATGGATGTGTATATACACATGTGTAAGTGCACATGTTGGGTGTGATGTGAGCATGTGTGTGTGTCGTGTACTGGAATGTGTGTGGGTACATGTCAGTGGGTACTAGGGTGTGTGTACACATGTGTAGGTGTGTGTCCATGTGTACTGGGATGTGTGAATGTGTGTGGGTGCCTATGGAAGGAAGTGTGTGCATGTTGGGATGTGATGGGTAGGTACGTATGCATTGCTATGCACATGTGCATGTGAATATGTGCATGTGTGTACGTGTGCACACATGTGGTCGTGTGCAGGTATATGTGGGGATGTGAGAGTAAGGGCTCCCATCTCACGGACCACTGTTGTACATGAGGTCCATTCCTAAGCCAGTGTCAGACAGGACATGGGGCCCACTGATGTCTTTGTAATCAGCCCCACCCCCTAAAGATCCCACTGTGTAACAAAACGACAGAGGGGAGGCTGTGTGTGTCCCCACTTGTAAGCACTGCAGACAGCCTGAGACTAGAAAGCTGGTGTGTTCCGGGGCTGGTGGAGTGACGGGGGAGGAGGCTTTGATTCCCAGGGTAGTGGGGGACCTTGGAGGTTTGGAGCAGGAGGCTGTGTATCTAAAAGGCTCTCCTGCTGCTCCCACAAGGATGAATGGAAGGAGTTTGGGGGTCGGGTCCCGCCCAGGCCAGTGCACCACAGCACATTGTTGTCTAGTGGCCGACGGACTTACGGACACTAGTCCCAGATGTCCCTCCCAGCTCTGAGGAGCTCCTGAGTGGTGTATGCTCCGGCAGTGGCATAATGAAGGCCTCTGTAGAAAAGGTCTTCAACACCCGCAGGAGGCTTTTGAAAGTCTTCCCCAGACCCAGCCTTGTTTCTATACCAAGTGAACAGCAAAAAAACCCAACAAACAAAACCTGGTCGCTGTCGAGTTGATTCCTACTCACAGTGACCCGTGAGTGTCCGAGTAGAATTGCGCTCTGTTGGTTTGTGAAGCGGTGACATTTCAGAAGTAGATTGTCAGACCTTTCTTTTGAGGTGTGTCTGGTAGCCACGTGCTTTACCATTTCTAGGCCAGGATGCCCTGAGTAAATCGCTGCTGTTCGGTACTGTCAAGCTGATTCGGACCCATGGGACTCTGTAGGACAAGGTAGAATGGTCCTGTAGCATTTCCTGGGCAGTAGTCTTCATGGAAGCAGATCGCTTCATCTTTTCTTCCTCAGAGTCACTGGTGGGCTTGAACCGCTGGTATTTAGTTTTAGCAGCTGAGAGTTTAGCCACATTTTGCAGAAGACATGCCAGGGTTTCCCGAAGTCACCCATCTCCCCAAAAGTCTTAGTGTACATGAAGTACGATGACAAAACCCACACAGGCAGCAAAGCGTATCCATTACTGGGGAAAATGAAGCATGTTCTGTTACCTTGCTCAGGTCTGTCCATGTGCACAGATGGGGTTTCTGCTTTTTTCTGTCTCAAATACAGCATCAGAGAAGGAAGACTTCAGCACCTGCTGGCGCGGGACCTGGTCCCAGGAGACATCGTGTCCCTGTCCATCGGAGACCGCATCCCGGCAGACATCCGCCTCACTGAGGTGAGTGCCCCCAAACCTCGTCCACAGGACACCCAGACCTGGAGTTCAGCTAGTGGACACGTCTCACGATGCCACTTCTTCTACCTCACACAAGCACACACACAGACGGATATATGCATACACACACATACATGTATGTACACACACATGCACAAACAGACATGCAAAAGATACCATCAACTCATCTCTGATTCATGCTGTCCCAATATGTGTCAGAGTATAACTGCTCCACAGGGAATTTGGTGGCTAATTTTTCAGAAGTAGATGGCCAGGTCTTTCTTCCAAGGTGCCTTTGGTGAACTCAAATCACCCGCATTTTGGTTCACCACATGCCGGGACATCCATCAGTCCTCTTCCATCAACTCTTCATCCCCATTCTCAGTTTAAGCTCTCTCTGCTTGTGATTTTCTAGTTCATTGTAGTCAGCAGTAGCAGATTACACCAGAGTGGGGGTGGGTAATGGGACCAGAGTGGCTTCTAGAAGCAGGCATGCTTATGTCAGAAAGAAGTGTCATCGGTCTGCTCAGTGAGGAGGAGAGAGACAGAAGAGAATCAATGATGATGACGGTGACATCACCAGAGAACTATGGTTCTCTCTCTGTCCAGAGAAAAGAAAGGCAGTGAAAATGGAAACTTCTTGGAAACAGTCAGTTCACTGGGTGAGTGGACTAGATGGTGCGTCACTATCATGACCAACTGCTCTGAAACTGATCACATGAGACGAGGAGAAGATGTGGAAGAAAATTAAACACAGACTCATAAAAAAGATCAGGGTCTTGGTCAGAGAGACACTAGTGGAACCCCAAGACTAGTGGAACCTCAAGACGATGGCCTGTGGTCATAGTCGTCCGTCAGGTCTAGAACGGAACTTGCATCCTGGGCTCAGTCTTTAGCCAAGCAGTTGATAGATACATTGGGCTGGGGGAAAACAACCATTTGAGCTCAGAAGGGCAGCATTTTCCTAAGGACAAAATTCAGAAGGGTAGGGAAAGGAGGAGGAATTGAAGCAAGAATCACAGGAAGTGGGATGACAGAGGTTACGTGGAGGAGGCAGCAATCATTGAGATAAGCCAAGCGTATGATTTGTTGAACGTAAAACCGAGAATCTGCTCTTCAAACCTTCACTTAATTCACAATCTACAGTTAAAATAAGCAACACGAAGAAAAACACACTCACACACAAATCCTAAAAAAACAGCGCCCACTTTTCTAATACGTCATTTTTGGGCGTTGGGTCTTGGGCAGACGATCCCTTAATTGTGGGGTGCTAGTGTGTCTTGGCTTCCAAGAACAATGACTTAGGCTCTTTGAGGTCATCCTGGATAAGTAAAGTTTCGAGTAGACTGGGCTTCTTCCAGGGATATACATATGGAGACCTTCCAGGAATTGTCGATGGTGTGCTGGTTGCCTGTGGCCTCAATGTGGCTACTGGGAGCTGAGCGAATGAGGGGCAGTGGGTTGGGGCTGAGGTCCTGGCTTGCCTTCTGTGGAAGTCCTCAGCCATCTGTAGAGGCAGGAGGCAAAGTGTCGCCTCGTGTGGCTCCTTTGCCTGACTTTCAGACTTCTCCATAGGCTGGGACCAGGGTGTCCAGGTGACCTGAGGTGCTCGATCTCTGATTCTGGCCAAAGCAGGCTGGGGGAGAGGGCATTGTGGGGTGTCCCTACTTACCTGCTGAACTCTGTCCTGATCTACTCCTGAAACTCTGAATCCCTTGAGTCAGTTTAGATGGCTTTGTGAAGCAGTCATGTTGTACTTGTGCATTACAGAGGCTAATGCTCAGAGAGGCTCAGCAATTTGCCCATTATGCACAGCCTTCAAATGTTAAGTGTGCTATCCACCGAGTCGGTTCTGACTCATAGTAGTAGTTATGTGCCGTGGAGTCAATTCCGACTCACAGCGACCCTGCACAGGGTTTCCGAGACTGTAAATCTTTACGGGAGCAGAAAGCATCATCTTTCTCCTGCGGAACAGCTGGTAGTTTTGAACTGCTGACCGTGAGAGTAGCAGCCCAATCCGTAACCACTACGCTACCAGAGCTCCTTAGACACTGGAAAATAAAAAATTATTCAGGTCAAGCAGCAGGTTACGTCCCAGGAATTGGAGGTCAGAGGATGAGTCAGGTGTGGGATCAAGAGACACTAAATAGAGCTGGGACTTGAACCTAGGTCTGTGCGATTCCAAATCCTGTCCACCATGGGACTGTGGAGGGGGATGGGATGTCCTCAGCTGCTATACCAGAAGGCAGGGTGGTAGACCCCTCGCAGATACCATTCTTGAACCCTGAATTGAGAACCGGGGTGCCGTGGACAGGGATCCAACTCACACCCCTTTAAGTGACAGCTGGATCCAGGGCCTCAGATAGACACAATCCCTTCTCCTCCACTTCTCTTCTTTTCTTCATCTCCCTTCTGCTTCTGAGTCTTGGCTGGCCCCACAAACCCCTCCTCTGATGGATTTCCCCAGAACTGTCCCCACCGTGGACTCAGATCCTCCCCCACAATAGCAGATAGACGAGTCCCAGGGAAGGCCTCTGATGGGCCTCGTCACGTGGCCAGCGAGGTGACTCAAAGGAAGGGGTACAACAAACATGGTCACCAGGAGATGTTTTTGTGAGCTAGGGGCTCACATCCACTCATGTTATCCTGATTTGACTAAGTGAGGCGCGTTCCAGAATGGTCCCCAGTGATAGTATCTCAACAGCATCCTACGATGACTCTTCCTTCACTCGCCTTTTATTTACTGAGCATCTGCTACAGGCCAGACACTGACCGTGTTGTCGTGGAGAAAATGCACCAACTTGTCCTCACTGAGTTCACACCCCAGTTCTTCAGCATACTGGGAAGCAGCATCGTGGGCGAGTTGGGGAGATTCTTGCTCAGTGGACATTCCTTGTTGCTGACTCGGGTGCCAGCCACAGAAGGGCAAGGACAAAATCTGGGCACACCCACTGAGGGTCTGCATTAGCTAAGCACCAGAAGTCACCCAGGGTTAGTGTCATTGGAAAAGGATATACTTCACAGACTTCTGGGGACAATGCAGAAGTAGGGGCTCAACTGAAACACTGAGGAACAAACCGTATAACAGAGCTGGTCTCCAGTGCCACCATTTCTGGTGTTCCCCAAAACAGGTCCCTTACAGCCCACCTCCTCATACACGAGCATCCGGCGTCTACTTCCAGCTGACCCAGTCCTACCTGCAGGGACAGCTGGGAGAGCCAAGATGATACTTACAGGTGTCTTTGGGGAGGTGGGCTCTGCCTTACAGTGTGTGAGTGAGTGAGTGAGTGAGTGAGAGTGTGTGTGTGTGTGAGAGACAGAGACAGAGAGAGACAGAGAAAGAGAGACAGAGACAGAGATTCCCAGGTAGGGAAGCGCCATCCTGTGCAGCCGTGGAGGAGGACTAAACATCCACAGCAGATGCTGTTGTAGTGGGGAAGAGACCGCTTGCAGGACACTCTGAGGCTGGTTTGCCCTGTTTGAGTCCTGGGTTTAGAGCACACAAGCTGTGTGACCCTAAGCAAGTCCCTTAACCTCTCTGTGCCTCAGTTAATGAGCTGATAATGCTTCCTGGGAGGATTGTAAGGATAGAACTGTGTAATACAAGTGCCTGGAGCAGCGTCTGGCAGCACTGAGTAATGGCCAACTTGCTTGATTGTCGTGGTTGAAGATGAGTCAGTGGTCAGAAAGTACTAGGTTTCGAGTTCTGGCTCTGGGAAAAGGATTTTACAGTTTCTGTAACAGGGAGTGCATCCATGTCTATCTCGTGGGGTTGTCATAATGTATGAAGTCAGCCCTTGTCAGTGGGGTGGGGAGCAGTCCCTGAATATCAGCAATTGATTTGATTTTTCAATCAGTTACTTATCTCCACCACAGTACTTTGAAACTGGCCCTCCTATTTCCTGGGGGTGATTTGAAACACCAGGCAGCCTTCAATAGCTTTGTTTATTCACCTTGGGTACTGGCTGCTGACCTCTGGAAACCTTTCCATGTGCTTGGAAACCCTTGAGGTTCAGGAAGCAGCCTGTGTAAGAAAGTTCTTCAAATAAGTGTCCCCAAAGAATAGCCCTTTATGCACAGTGGGCGTGCAGGCCACAAAACAGGACTTTCTATCCTGAGCTGGAGACAAAGGCACAGCCCCCAGAGTAATCTGATGACCTGGTTCAACCTGTGGGGCAAGGTCAGCACCCCTCATTCTCCTCCTTTCCATTTCTAAATTGGACTCCAAGTCCCTCAGGACTGTATGCTGGGAGAGTTAGCACAGCTCTGTGTCTGCTGACAGGAAGTGACCCCGAGTTCAGTAGTGTGCCCTGTCTTCAGGCCTGGCCCCCAACTCTGTTTTTGGTCTGCCCATGTCCTCCCCTGAGCCCTCCTCTTCCTCCCTCAGCACGGTGCTCTGGAGTCGTCCAAAGCCGAGCTCTTTCCCTTGTTCCCCAGCAGGTCTGCCTCCTACCTCTCTTTGTTTCGCTCACAGGAAGAGAAGGAATCTTTTTCTCAGTTTATTGCATCTTCACTCACCTGTTGGATAAGAAAGACCCCATCTCATCTCTCAGCAACCTTAGAAAGGTACCCACCCCTCCTGTTGCTTTCCAGTCAATTCTGATCCATAGTGAACGTCTTGGTAGTTGTTAGGGTCCCTCTCATAGGGACACTATGCACAAAAGAACAAAACACTGCCCAGTCATGTACCATCCTCACAATTGTTGTTGTGCCTGATCCATTGCTGTTGCAACTGTGTTAGCCCATCTTGTTGGGGGTCTTCTTTTCGTTGATCCTCCACTTCACCAACCATGACATCCTTCTCTAGGGATTAATCCCTCCTGACAACACACCCAAAGAACAAGAGATAATGATAATGTCTGGAAATTTCCTTTGTAAGGAGCATTTTGGCTGTACTTTCTCCAACACAGATTTGTTTGTTCTTCGTGCGCTTAGAATATTCGCCAGTGCCAAAATTCAGATACATCGATTCTCTATGGTCTTCCTTATTTATTGTCCAACTT